AAGCCTTCCGAAACGCAAGGCCTATTTAAAACCCTCCTCATTCACTACTACTATTACTACTACTACTACTACTACTCCTCCTCCTCTTCCTCCTCCTCCTCCTGCTGCTGCTGCTGCTGCGACTACTACTACTACTACTACTACTACTACTACTACTACTCCTGCTGCTGCTGCTGCTGCTGCTGCTGCTGCTGCTGCTGCTGCTGCTGCTGCTACTACGACTACTACTAATATTACTACTACTACTACTACTACTACTACTACTACTACTACTATCACTACTACCCACTACTACTACTACTACTACTACTACTACTACTACTACTACCACTACTACCCACTACTACTACTACTACTACCACCACTACTACTACTACTACTACCACCACCACTACGACGACCACTACGACGACGACGACGACGACTACTACTACTACTACTGCTGCTACTATCACAACTACCACTACGACCACTACTACGACTACTACTACTACTACTACTACTACCACCACCACCACGACTACTACTACTACTACTACTACCACCACTGCTACTACCACCACTACCACCACTACTACCACCACTACTACGACGACGACGACGACGACGACGACTACTACTACTACTATTACTGCTACTACGACTACTACTTCTACTATGACTACTACTACGACTACTGCGACGACTACTACTTACTAAGACGACGACTACTGAGACAACTCATCATCACCAGCAGATTCATCAGATCATTCAGTCTCAAGCATAATTCATAAATAACCAATAATAGTAATGCAGAAATACAGAAAGAGCAATCAAGTTTACACTATCAGCCTCAGTAGTTTTGTACGTACCAGGTTAAATTGCTATACACATTCTAATAGTATTAAGCAGCAAGCTCCGAAAATCACAGACCATGAAACCTGGAACACTTTGAACCCAAATCCTGACCAAGCTTTAGTTCGCGGATGTGCACGGTTTTGGATCCCCAAAACCGCCAGCATTTAGGGTTTAGGGTTTCCCTAAACCCTAAACCCTCAACCGCCTAAACCCCTTTAAACCCCTTTAAACCCCAGGCCCTCAAACCCAGAGCCTCGAAAACCAGCTCTGCTCCCTTGGGGACGGACAGGCTGCCGGAAAAGTCCCAGACCGGTTCGGTCGAATTCTGGCAGGCAAGGGCTACTACCAAGGTACTGGTTTTGTGTTTAGGGCTTATGGTCTGCCAGTGGTTTAGGGTGTATAGAAGTTGTGAAACTAAGGTTTGGGTGCAGCGCGTTCTGGATTCTTTTGCTGTTGGGTCGGATTGGTTAAATGTTTTTGCATGTCCGGCCCCGTCATGCCTCTGCCACCCAGAGCCCCCCCAAATTTGGGTGTTGTGGCCTTTTTCAAGCCTGTTGAGGTCTCCAAATTTGGGCTTTGGTTCACACTTCTTCCAAAATTTGTGTTTTTGGGGGTTCTTTTCTCAACCTTTAAGTTCAAGTTCCAGGTGTTTTGGGTTTGAATCCGGAGTTTTGGATTGGATTTTTCTTGTTGGGTCAGGCCTTAGCTACTACAAGGTTTTACAAGAGATACTATAAAAGGTACTATATGGCCCGCTTTTCGGGTTCAGTGAGGTGCCTTTGCGGGTTCCCAAAAAGCTATTCGGGTGAGATTCGGGCTTTAGGGTCAGTGACGGTTGATGCAGGGTCAATATTAGGGGCCTTAATATTTAGAATAGGGCTTGGGGGTGTAGCGTTTCGGGCTCTTCGGGGTTTAGGGTTTAGGGCTCTTAGGGGTTTAGGGTTTTGGGCTCTTAGGGGTGTAGGGTTCAGGGCTTTTAGGGGTTTAGGGTTTAGGGCTCTTAGGGGTTTAGCGCTCTTAGGGGTTTAGGGTTTAGGGCTCTTAGGCTAGGGGTGTAGGGCTCTTGGCTTTAGGGTTTAGGGCTCTTGAGGTTCTTGGTTTGGGGCTCTTAGGGGTTTAGCGTTTAGGGCTCTTAGGGGTGTAGCGTTTAGGGCTCTTAGGGGTTTCTTCTTCTCCATGCAGCGCCAGCAGTAATCGAACGTCTCCTTGATCCTGCAGAGGGTGCGGCATATGAAGGCTGCGCAGAGAAAGACCAAAGTCGGGCACCAACCTCGCGACCGCATGAGCGAAGCTTCGCGGTTGGAAGCGTGCTTGGATTCGATTGCGGCTATGTCTACAGCCATGATGTCGGCCAAGCTTTCCAAAACTGCCATGCAGGCAGGCGACTTCAGCTTGTCAACAGTATCCTGAGTCGACTCAGAAACCTCGCTCTGCTCAGCCGGGAACTGGTCTGCGCAAGTTCAGTGTTTGGTGGGTTGAAATTTAGGGGATTTATGCTTCGGGTCAGGAGCCTGCAATAGGTCCTAGGACCAGAGGGGAAAAAAGCAACGCCAAAACTTGCATCTATGCAAGCCACGGGCCTAGGGCCTAGCGGTCTCCGGCTGCCCGACTATGATGAACCCTGGAGCCCGAACTCCTGGAGCCCAAGGCACTACAAACACCGAAGGCTCCAAGGCCCCCTCAGCCCTACGCCATCCCGACACCCTGAACCACCAAAGGCCTAAAGGGTTTAGGGTTTCCGGTTAGGGTTTAGCGTTTAGGGTTTAGGGTTTAGGATTTATACAGGGTTTCGGTTTAGGGTTTAGAGTTTCGGGTTAGGGCTTAGGGCTCAGAGTTTCTAGGGTTAGGGTTTAGGGTGTAGGGTTTAGGGCACCCCATGAGCCCTGAACGCACCTTAATGGTCGGTGTGCGGAGCGAGGCTTTGTCGCCAGACACGGTTCTGCCATCGCCAGAGCGCAAATGGCATTTCACGTACCTCGACATAGGGGGGCTCCTGGTGCCTCTTCAAGGGTTCCTCTAAGGGTTATGACGGTTCTGACAAGGATTGCCGTAAGGGTTTGACATGGGGGCCTCTACAATTCGAATAAGGCCTGGGGGGTATATTCATTTAATTCGGAACCCTAAGGACTAAGATTGGTAATTATTCAGGCTTTTACTATTACATTCCTGAAGAGTTGTGGCAGTTGTAGCACTACTGCAAACTCGGTAGCCAAATAGTTAGCTAACTCGAGGATACCACCTGGGTCCGAGGTTGTGCAAGTGCAGGACCCGAAACCCTAAACCCTCAACCCTAAAGCCTTAAACGCCAAGTCCAGGACACTATACCCTAAAGCCCTAAACCCCAAGTCCAGGACCCTAAACCCTAGACCATAAAGCCCCAAGTCCATGCAGGTCCAAGAATATGAAGCTGGCAGGATTCAGGGTTTTTTTACTTGTCAGGGTTTAAAACCGATGGTTAAGGGTTCAGGGTTTAGGGTTTGGGGTTTTGAAATTAGTGTTCAGGGTTTAGGGTTTAAAGATTAGGGTTCAGGTTTAGGGTTTAGGGTGAAGGGCTTCGGGTAGCTTACTGAGCTGTCCAGTATCCTTGGGGGAACTAAAGGTCACCTGAAGCCACCATCGTCGAAGGGGCTAGTTGGGTTCCATTATACTATAGTTATAATCAAGAACCCCCCAAAATAGTATGGGCAACAACTTTCGGCAAGGCCTCTATGTTAGTTACTAATGAACTGAGAACCCTGTCACCGCACCCCGAACTCCACATCCAAGGCTTCTTCCTCGCCTCACCCACACCCTGTGCCCTCGTCCTCGGACCTTGCTCCGGATATGCTGAACCCCAGCAAACCCCTATACTCATAATGTTAAACTTACTTCCCCAACAAACCAGGGAAATAGAAGGTTAAACTTTCAGATAAGTACTAAGTTCTAAAAAAAACCAAGTTGAAAGGTTGGGTACTGCAGAGGAGAACAAAGAAAGCCAACACCGAATCCCTGAACCTTGAACTCTGAACCGTAGATGCCGAGCCCTGAAACCTGACCTCCGTCACGTGAAATCTCGACCCGAAACCCGAGATCCGAATCCCTGAACGGCATCCCGAGACCCGAAGTTTAGGATTTTGGGTTAAGGTCTAAGGCTTAGCAGTTTGTATGGCCAACACTCGAAAACAGCCACACCAAATAGGAGCAATTGCAACAAACCCGATAAATGCAGAGATAAAAAGAAACCGTCAAAGACAAGCCTGCAACACCCTTCCTACATAAAAAGCCTTTCACGCTGCATCACAACGCGCAGGAGCCCCTTCAGCAAAAGACAGAACGTTGGGAACCTGACGATCCTCATACCCTTTTTCTGGGGATTCTGGTTTCTCAGGCTGGAGGGTTAGGGTTTAGGGTTTAGGGTTTAGGGTTTAGGGTTTAGGGTTTAGGGTTTAGGGTTTAGGGTGCTTAACCCTAAACCCTAAACCCTGCTTCATGTAACGTAGGAGGAAGTCCCAGCACGAGTCCTAGAGAGCTCATGTTCCAACTCTTTACTGGAAACCCGAAACCCACAAGCGAAGAAGTCCCTGAATCCTAGGCCCTGAACCCAAACTAACCCTGGAGCCCGAAACCCTAAACCCTA